TAAGCATCCTTGCCTCATTAAAAAAGGATGAGACTCACCAACAGCTCTACAAATGTCTCTTTACAGAGAACCCTCCTCTCTAACTGATATTTACTAATGAAGCTGCAGTGAGAATGACTATATCTGCTCAGGTATCTCATTGGGCCCTTCATGTAGCCATCATCACTGCAACTTAGGGGACACCCCCACATGTCAGCGTAGCATGACAACAAGTCTGTTGCCTGCACTCATAAGTACAGAGTGATGGAGGGAGAGGAAGCTCAGGGGACACAGCGAGCACTCAGGCATCGATGACGCATCGCCATCTCTCAATGGGGGTCTGCTACCCCTGATCAGAGGGGAGGCAGGACTCTTCTGTTGGCTGCCACAGGTCTACGGCAGGGGGAGGGGAGACTAATGGCTGCAGTGTCAGATAAAGGATGAAGGTGAAGGAAACGCTGAAAGGAACCAAGGCCTGTTTAAGCTCTGAATTTAACAAAAGCTTGAATAAACACATTTGCATCAGGAATAGAGTGTCATCCTCCTTTCATCATAACACAACCTGAAACACGGCTAGGAGTGCTAGCCTACAGGAGAAAGGATGTAAAATTCATGGAGCCGTGTTGCACAGCGCTGCACAGCGACTGATGTTTTTAAACTGTGTAACCTGAAGTGTGTGACTGTGTAACCCCCTCCTCCCCCATTCATTTGTATGAAATTCACTTGTAACAGTTGCACCTCAAACAAGATGAGCTCTCAGAGCTTGGTGCATCCAAACAAGCTTTCAGGCTCTCCAGTGAAGTACTTGATTTGGTCACTAGGAGGCAAAATGTCAAAACATTATTCATGTGAGCTGAGGGGAACAGAGGAGAGACAGAGGGACAGAGAAAAGTCATGAAAGAGTATTTCGAGTTTGAAGCCGGCAGGGCATGTGGAAGGATCAAATGTGAGTATTCGCATGCAAATGGGGGCGCAGCTCGAATTTATGCAAACTTCAAAACAAGCAAAAAGATATGAACTGAAGGGCAAACAGCAGAGGAGAACATCTACTTCTTTTGTTTGCTAGCGCTGAGTGTAGATCTCTCTGCATTTTACACATGAAGTTGCAATTTTTGACAAGTGGGGATCTACTTAGACAAGCTAAAGATCCCAATCTGCAAAAAGCAAACAAACAAAAAACCCTAAATGTCTCTTTCATCCACAAATCTAATTCAAAACTTGAAAATAAAATATACGGTCCTCCCTGCATCGGCGAAAACTACACAAAAAGCAACTACATTGTGAAACTTGGACTAGTTTAAACTTCAATCACAGTCTTTTTGTATGGTACGCGCAAAGATGGCAATCCCATAAACAACTGCTTTGTCTAGGAATTCTACTTCAAAGTTAAAAAAAAACAAAAAAACATGAGCCATTTCCCCTCCCAGCTCTAAGTGCCACCCACTGCAGTTATCGCACATCAACACTCAACTCATAAACTAATAATGTGTTTGAAAAGGGCTGGAAACTGTCAATAGATGGTTTGAGATGATAATTCCTCAAAGAGCACATCCTCTGCAGCGGACCAGTCGCTCCCCGTGCGACTGTAAGATATAGTTGTGGACGGCAAATATCAAAAATGCCAGGATAGAGTCATCACGCAATCATTAGTGGATGTATTTTTATAATTTGTGAGGAAAGCACGGGCCAGTCTGCCGGGAATTTGATAAAACCCTCAGCACTTGTTGACTCACACACTTAGTGAGAACATTTTGTGATTAGATCAGTCATTTCTTATCTAGTTACTGTACATGTGATCTGGATTTAATGTAATAAACCTCAGGAAACTTACAATTAGGAGGGGGTGGGAGAAAACAAACAACACTGGTACACATATGCAGACTTGTTAATTATTTTGTGAGGATGTAGTTTGTGAGGAGGCAAACAATTTCGCCGTAGCTTTATTTTCGCTGACAGTGCGTAATGACTCTGACGAGCACAGCTACTTAGAGCTTCCAGCGCCTCCAGAAAACAACAAGTCTGAATGTGGCAGCTTTACAAGGGACATTAAGAGCCACTTACTCAGACTGCATTACTCCGTGCAATTAGGTCCCCTCGAGTTCCATTTTTGGTATTTCAGCTCCAGTTGAACCACATCTGTTTGCAACTAGTTGACCTATATTGCACACGACTGTGGAATGTGCACAAAATTGCTTTAAGGACTGCAGGCTGAGGTCCCGATTTTTGACCAAACCTCTGCAACTTTCAAAGATTTTACCTAGCAAGGTGAAAATCTGTTTAAAAAGCTTCTCTTTGTTTATGCAGCATGCACACAAACCCGCTCGCTGTAAACTACTAGAGCCAGCTGTATCGATGTGGAGGACGAATCACTATAAATAACTGCCAAAATGCTATACATATGCTAACAGCTGACATTTTTCCATTCCAAACACCCACGAGTGGCAGCCATCAGTGGAGCTAGATTTAACTGCAGCTGGCAGTGTCAAGACGCAAAGATTATGGCCACTAATGAATATTAGCCAACTTGCAGCCGCTGGGTATTTAGATGCAGTTCACCCCATTGATTTCCCTGTTGGGTGAAGACAACTTTATCCCTGTGGCAAGTCCCTGGCTTATCTCGCCGACTGCAAGGCAGCCGGCAGACGGGGTGTTTTCCTGGCCGCGTTTCAGGATGATTTTAAGCCTGGCAGGTGCGAGCGGGAATACCTGACTGCGGTAAACACAAAGGGGCAGCACGGAGCAGAAGGAGATGTCCAGCTGTGAAGGGGCAGCCATATAAGGGGACTATATTGAGTACAGCACAATTACCACAAAGCTCACTGTGTTGGATTATCACAGAGAGCAGGTGGCTGTGAAAGACAGTGAGAGGAAGGCCTCGAGAAAAAGGTGACAGATGGGTGTGGAAGAGTAGGCCTGCACACGCCGCAGCTCAGGAGGAGAGAGAGGAGACACCGAGGAGAAAGATACGACTTTACTAGAGTCTACTGAGATTCATTCATCAGAGCCGTCACCGCGAAACACAAATAGGTGCAGAAAATGAGATGATTTTAAACACGTTGCCATTGATTAACCATTTGCAGGCACAGATTGCACCTTTGAGAGGGGAAATTACTTTGATACAGTGTTTGTGGATGCGTCTATACATGCGCAAAATGTCAACGATTTGCAGAATAAAAATGAACAGTACCATGGAGACTCTGTTATTTCCTACATACATCAGATGAGAGTCGGGATAATAACCTGATGAATAATCAGGGAGCTGGAAAGCTTTCTTGGGGTAAGTGTGTCTGGATTAGCATTACTGTGACCAAGACAGATGTACGCAATCAGAACGGTAACAAAAGGAAAAGACTCCCTGTGATATTTATGGATTAAACAGAGATTAATTTCTTCAAAGCCGTGCTCAGGGCGGACCTCATGTACAAGGCCAGCTGCCTCTGTAATTCATCCCATTTATCTTCAAGTCAAAGAAAAGAAAGAAAAGATAAAAAGACTTGAGGCCATGTAAAGTAGGCAGACCCTTATCAATGGTGTCAAACACAAATACACAATGAGCTGCAGGTCATCATTATTTCTGACTTAATGTCCTCCAGTCGGCGGGGATGACACAGCTGGAGGTGCCACCGGTTGGACACTGCTATGCTAATTCATTAGCCACCTGCTTCGAGTAAGTGGGGGGGGTTCACGCTTGATTAAATTTTCGCCATCTTCCTCGAGAGAAAGGGACGCTACGAGTCAGCAGTAAAGCAACGATTACAATGTAAAGGCTACGCGAACAACTTCTGATCTCTGCTGTATTAGGGTTTGTTTTCGCCTTCACTGCCCCCGTCGCTTTATTGTCTCTCATTTTCCACCTCGTTTTATTTAGATTACGCCGCTCAGAGAAAATGCGCCTCGTTTCTGGTCTTGAAGTTGTCGTTGTTTTCGAGGACTGTGGCGAGGTTTTCACTAGCCCCGTGGGTTAGACTATGATTATTATGACCGTGCAAATGACTGCAAATTTAAGCTGTATTACATTTTCTCTAAAGATCAGAGGTAATGAAACAAAACTACCTCAAGAACTGGGATGTTAACGTTTTTTCCCTCTGCATTAGCTTCTATTTTTGGAGGCACTTTGTACTTTTCAGCAATTGTAGCCACTGTCCTTAAGTGTCTGCTTTAGTTGCTGCCTTGCACTCTAAAGCTCCCGGGACTTCATGTTTGAAGCTCGTCTTTGGCTATGTTGCAGCTTCTCACTTTATACAGCATGTGGAGCTTATGTTTACCTAAAGCACCTTACATGTCCAAAGACAGAATATCCACAGCCTTGTAAAGGGCTCGGGTCAAGCAGCGAGGCATTTCTGTGACACTAGATGTGGAATGGACTTTGTGCAAAGCAACCGTCAGATATACTTCTGTTCCCTTTGAGCCACCTCTGGTATAACAACTTCCCAGTGGTATTATTTCTGTTTCCGTCACTCTTCACACTTTCACAGATGTGCACAGCTGTGAGAATTCAGACGTTCGCAAACAGGGAAAACTGTACAGACAACAGAAAACCCCAATTTTACAGCTCACGTTTTTCAAGCCTTTGCTGAAAGGGTGTTTTTGAAGAGATTATTTCTTTCATTGCTCTCTCTAAAAAAATTAAAAAAATCCAGACATGAGACTGGAACTTTAATAAACTGCATGTACCTACTGCTGTACTTCATTAGGGATACTAAAGCAGTTACAGGGAAAACAAGTCCAGCTCCAGCGGCTATGATTCATACGGAGGTTTAGCTGTTAAAGGCTAAGAAATAAACACAAGAATCACTGTGTCCGAATGCCACTGATGTTTCCAAATCTAGCCTGCCAGAGCAAAACCGATCAGACACGGTGAATTTCATTGCTTTCATTGAGTCATTGCTGCCTTTGATTGTTTTGTTGTTAAAAAAATCTCATCAATTCACAGCTTTTGTGTTTATTTCCTCAAGTACCAATTGATTTTATCTGCTTGAGGAAAATATCTTATTTGCACACTAGCAGCAGGTCTGGCATACCTGGATCCAGGATGATAAGCTGGGCGCTGGACTGGATGTTGCCCGCATCGTTTTCTGCCAGGCACTGGTAGAAGCCCTCGTCTGACTTGACCAGACCCAAAATCTGCAGGTTGTGGTCCTCCTACAAAGCAGGAAGGGGAAAAAAAAGAAAAAAAAGAGGGAATTGGAATAAGAAACATACACAGGTATCAATGCAAGCAGCAGTTCTAATCAATTTCCTACTCTTTCTCGTGACGCTCCGGTGATGTAAACTCTCGCAATGACTTCTGGTGAAGGAAAGGTTGGAAGAAAAAAATAAAAAAGGCAGCACATCAGCACTGAATGAACTTACAATTATTTTGAAGTAATCGCTGGGAATGACGGCGTCTCCATTCTTGACCCATTTGACCGTGGGAGCAGGTGACCCCGACACGTCACACTCAAAGATGATGTCCATGGACTCGTGGGCATAAATGTTGGCCGGCCGCTTCACGAACTGCGGGGAAACTGTGGAGTCCACACGAAAAAAGGAAAACTTACATTTAATGATTGAACCTTTTCTTTGTGAAATCTGTCAAAACTAACAAGGAACGTTAAACGTTGCTGCAAATGGCCTTTGCTGGAAAAGGAACAAGATGAAATTATTTCATGCTTCCCTTTAAACTCTCAGCCAAGAGAGAGTAGAAACAGTGTCATCCAGCAACAGGCTAATTATTTTCTGCACGGTTCACACAATTTTACCAGATGGCAACACTTAACACTTAAGAGTTGTTGTTTTTTTTTTCTAATTTATTCAGGAATGGTTGAAAGGCAGCTACTTTGGTACTAGCGCAGTACTGTCAGCACACTACACCGGCTAAGCCGATCTCCCCTAGTCCTGCTAATGAGGGCCAGAGAGGAGTTATTTGATCTGCTGGGGCGATACAGTGCCTCATCAATCTGTCCTGGAACAAGGTCACCAGGAGCGCAGGGCCCGGGCCCCGTCCCCTCTCTATAATTGGACTGTACGTGTTGTGAGAAGAGAAGAGGGCAAGACGGACTATGTGTGCACGTGCGTATACGCTGCAGCTACACCCGTGCGTCCTCTGATAAGCACCGACCTCGTTGACCACAATTTAAATGACTGTATTGTTATTGTGTGGCTGCGTGTCATGATTTGCCATCAGCCTCCTGGGCGCGGTGATGGCTGGTTATTAGCATCTACTTTGCGACTATACACAGGAGCTGATTGGATATTAGTTGCAGTGGGCGGATAAGGTCCTTTCTTTTTGTTCTTCTTTTTGGGCTTTAGTCAGCAGCAGGCTGTGAGGTCAAATCTTCATCTGCTTGATGTAACACGGGCTAATTTACTGTAACACACAAGTTAACAGATTAGCCTTCATACTGCTGGGGAAAGCATTTAGCGCTAGAAAGGCGTTCAAGACTCTTTGTAATTAAAACCAGAAAGGAAAAAAGAAAAAGAAAACCACACATTTCTTTAACAATAACGGCCTTATTGGAGCGCTGGAGCTACGGGACACATTGGGTTCTGTGTGGACTTTGTATTTCCCTGACCTTGAAATGCACTTTGCCCATCTGTTTGCTATTTCCATGCTCTACACACAGCACATGGAGCAAAGGCGGGGAGAGAAAGGGAGAGCGAGAGAGACACAACTCGACAGAAGCTGCACACAAAGCCACGGCTATCTAAAAACACAGAGCCAAAAGACGCGCATGTCCGCCTTTCCTGCCTCCTTACCTTGTCTGGTACAATGCTGCTTTTATCCTCCTTAACTACATAAACTGATGCGGAATTATTACATCTGTCAAACATTCATTCATTGATTTTCTTTTTTTAAAAACACATTTCCGCATCCCTCTCATTCATGTGAGCAGCGTATACTTCTAAGGTCAAAACAAAAATCGAGCTAAATGCTACTTTGGTAACAAACTCTGTTCAATGCTCGCATCACGTGGCCTTTAAAATGCTCATGGCCTCAAACGGTTTTTCAACTGCAACAAGTTCACGCGTGACACTTGGAGAATAAACCCTCCAGTTTAAGATGTGCAGTATTATCTCAAGTTCACCAATAAAGCACGGTGTGGAGTTTCTTTTCCAGGTTGATGCTGAAAAATATTTTAAAAACAAACACAAAAAAAGTGCTCTGCTGTAGTCTGGTGCAGTATGAGCTCGGGTCAAACACAAAACAGGCACACAGAGCCACAGAATACTGAAACCTTCCTTCTGCTTTCTTAATGAGCATCTCGGTTTTCCGCGGGCCTCTGAGGTTATTATTGACGACTGACACGAGAATAGAAATGAGGACGGTGATGCTTCTAGACTCGATCAGTTTTTGACTGGCAAGACAGCCACATCATCCCGATCTGTGTGTGTCTGCGTGTGCACAAGAGTGTATCCAACTGTGTGTGTGTGTGTTTGCGTGTGTTCCCTGCAGGGAGGCGTGTGAGCTGTGAATAATGTGCTTCACAGTGTGGTGTCCCCTGGATATTTGCCTCTAGTATGCGCGCAGCACAGTCAGGTGGAATCCTCTGTTTGCTTTGGTGTGTCGGGGACACACGAGGCTGAGACACCACCGAGTCAGTGTGAGTCAGTGTGAGTCTGTGTTTGCGTGGAAGGCTGAATAATGTTTGGATAGGAATTTTTAAACATGCCAGGATACTTGTTTTGTCTCCTTATTACTTCTGCTGTATGCTGTACATAACTGGGTTTGCGCCCTCCCCCGCTGGCGATGTGTGAGTGGGTCGATTTTGCTTTCTTTCTTGTGTGGGTGTGTGTGTCTAAGCACTTGCTTATGCATGCAAACATATGTTTCTGTACATCCAACGCTGTCTCAGCCTGTGCACACTCCCCACATTCATATGGGTGTTTGGTTCATATTGGAATGTCTGTATCAGTGTGTAGCAGAGCCTCCTATAAAGATTTGCTGGTGAGACAGGTTTTGATGGTGGCTGGTGCCCTGCAGCTCTCTTTACCTCTCCCTCTCTCTCTGTTACACTTTGTCTCCAATTGTTTCCTGATTCTTAATCTTCCTTCCCTATCTCTCCATCTTTACCCCCCCAACTCCCCTCCATCTGAGCAGACATGCACCATTTTCTCTAAATGGTGTTCTGACATTTGGAACCTTTTGGACTGAGGAATGACTATAAATGTCTAAATACACCAATATAGCTAAAGGCTGGGTAAGGGAAATGTGTGTCAGTCCAACAGCAGGCCTGATGACCTTTAATTGGCAGCCTGTTTTTACAGTGGTACAATGTCTATATGGAAAATTCCCCGCGGTGCCTGTATGGAGCAAAGGGTGTGTGTTTTGGGTGCGTTTTCTTTGTTTAACAGGTGGCTGTGCAACGATTTTGCAGCTCACCCATTTCTCATAAACGACACCCTCAACCAAAGCTGGATCTTTTTGGTTAGAGGAGTTGACAAAAGACGTGCCGATCCACGCGATCGGTCCAAATCCGGAGTGGTTCATAAACACGTTTTCCCGCAGTCTATGGCTCACAGACACACGCATATACAAACACACACAAATGCTAAATTCCACCAGCTGGAATATCTCTAAACAGGCTGCCCTGTTTTGGAGCATAAATACCACTCTGTAATGAAAGAGAAACCCAACAGAAACAGAAAAAACAACTAAAGGGAATGCAGACACTGGAAACAAATGGGAGAGGAAATAAACAGCTAGACAAATGTAAAAGGAGGGAAACCAGCCAGAGGAAGTGCGATACGAGCTCTTCGGGGCTGGTATTATCTCTCGAGCCGGTAGCTTAGTAAAAGAAGCTTTAATGCAGACTTGCACCAACTCCAGTGAACTACTAAAAGAGGGCCACAAAAAGGTCATGTGCGTGTCTTGCAGTGAGCTTGTTAAAACAAAACCCCACAGGATTCCTGAAGGGATTCTGGGGAGATAGCTTTACTTAAAGCTTCAGTAAACTGAACTGAGTCATAGAGAGGGAGAAAAACCTATTTGTACTGATACATATATCAAACACAAAGAACTAAAGAAAGTACTGTAGCTGCTTCCCGAGATGACGCAAAAGGTGAAATAAATCACTTTTCAGCATATATCCCATAAAATGTAAGCCACAGCAGTAAATATATTATGTCTTAAAGCGAAAGGATACAAAAATTCAAGACATTTTACCACTCTGATACCTTGGCCAGAGTCCAGTTAGCTTCCTGAAGTGAAAAAACAGTGTTGGGCAGTCTGGGTTTACTCTGAGGGCAAGTCAAGCTTGGACTGCACTAATTACCCCTCCTGCTCTTCCAAAGATAACAGCTTTACTCTTAATTCTGGCCAAAACAAACAGCTTCAGCAATAAGGCTGAAAGAGGGATGCTTGGTGCTTGCATTCCAAGTCAGCGAGCAGATAATAATGTCTTGTTAGAGGAAGAGTCATAGAGTAGGACTTCAATCTGTGGATTTTTCTGATATAACAACAACTGAGCGAAAGCGCAGGCACGAGTGCGTCAATGAAATGCTAAAGCGGGGCTTGCAAACGTGGTGCATAGAGGAAGGAGTCTGCTCTGCCTTCATTTCAGAGCAATTCTCAGTAGAGCTCAAACAGATTGCTGTTGCTACTCAACCTTCAATTGGAAGTGCTCCGAGCGCATGGAAAACAAAATAGAGAACTAATTTGATGATTTACTCGCAATGCATATGCACGCTTTGCTTTAAACTGGGCTATTGTTGTCAGCTATTACAGGAGAATCTCTGGCAATTGGGTGCATCAGCCTTGGTCTGCTATGTTTTATGTAAATTTAATTACTGTCATGGCAATGATCTCAGTAGAAGAGCAAAAGGAAACAAATTTATTACGGAAAATATTTGTGTCGAGCTCATTTCTCAATGAAGGGAGGTCAATATGACTACATTTTTGGTTGGGACGACTTGAATAGATGCACTTTTTTAAGGTGGTTAATAAATTTCTATTTTAAGAGCCAAATAAGCAACAAGTTAGACTACAAAAGCCACACCTAGCTATGGCTATGCTTCCTCCATACGCCCTCCAAGGGTCAGAGAAGTGGCTCCTGTATCCACACATGAGAAGCTAACGCAATGGTTAAACTGGAAGGTGTACAATGGAGTCAGAAAGAGGATAAGATAACAGCTGCTATGAAAAAAAGAAAAAAGGAAAACGCGTTTGCGTTAGGGGTGTTTCCCTTTATTAGATTAGCATTCTTTAAATAGCTAAATGGAAAGTTTCTGTTTTATTTTGGACGAGTTGTAACTGCAAGTGGCTGCAGGATGACTGTGTGCCAAAGCACCCAGCAGATTTGATCAAATTTATAACGTTCAATGCATCATTTAGAGAAAGCTATTCCTTGAAAAAAAAAAAAAAATACTTTGAGCATACGTTGCCTTTGCTGGTGGGGAGTAGAAGGGCTCAATGGAACTGTGTTTTCTGCCGAGCATTTACAGTTGTGACATACAGTCATATGTACATCAAAGTTTTCATAACCAAGTCCACTCCATGATTCACTATGTCCCCTAACGGTTTCTGTAC